TCCCTACGAGAATTCTAAAACCAAAAACTATGAAACAACCAAAAGTAGTCAAACAACAACAAAAAACCCTTCTTGCTATCAAGTTTAAAATCTCAAGCTTAGTTCATGCTTTTAATATTGTGTCTCCTTTTAATCCTGTTTCTATTGCTTTACTTGAGCAGGTTTCCCCCTTCCCTGATGCAATGCCAATCCCCACTTTAGTAAGAGTAGGGAGGACTGAGGCAGAACTGCAAAAAGGCGTTGTTCTATCAGTAAGGAAAACAAAAGAACACAGCTTGCAGGCTAAAGGAAAAGGAAGTTGAAGACCCCATTTGTGTTTAGAAATGTTATGAGACAATGGACATTTTGGTCGCCTTAGTTACAAGTATCATTGTAAACTGCATGCATGTACTTTTGTTTTAATCTGTGAAAGTGTTGAATCTCACAACCACACACAGTTCTATTCAAACACCAAAGTGGTAAACAGTGTTATGAACCGCAATCATAGGGATGAAATCACTTTCTGTCCCAGAAGTCACAAAACAAGATATTCCTAGAAGTCTTTTTTGCAGATGTGCATATTGGTCTGTACAAGTCCCATCTCTTGTAGCCAGCAGTAACCCTCCAGGTATGACCAGCTCAAGCAGTGATCCTTTACAAGTTGCACATACGGTTGCCATTAAAGTTGACATTCACCAAAGGTTACCGTACATGGTTCTGGGTACCACAATTATTGGCAAATCACTTTAATGGTGACCACTATATTACAAGTTACTCCAACTACACACACATCAGAAAGGATTATTACAGAGACAATACTTTACACTCCTATACCTGCAGCTTTCAGTTTGATTTATTTTGTTGCTGTTTTCTACACGGAGGTGGTCTCCCATGACGCATAATGTGTGTTTCCAAACTATCTAGGATGGCAATAGCAATCCTTTGGACATGTGGATCAGTCTGGACATTTTCCTTGATATTGTATAAGTGCTGCAGACCACCTTCTTCAATTAACATGCTGCAGTACCTAGCTGCTGTAATAAGATTAAAAAAAAAAAAAAAAGTAGTGTAAATGTAGCATATACTGTAAACAGTAATTGAAATCCACTTTTGTCTCCTAGACCAGACAGCATTTAGGGCACTCAACCTTAAGTGTGTACAGAAGTGCATTTGTACTTCACTAAGTGACAGCAGAACAACAGAGTTGTTTGTACAGGACTCTGATTGTAATCAGGTCTGTTTCCACATCTGTCTTAGCTGACTGGAAAGTGTCTTATCATATGCACAGTATTCCCTCTGTCCCTCAGTCTCCTCTACAGGCTTGTTAAGTGCACATATATAAATTTTAAGAAATGGGAATCAGAAGTACTATAGTATCTATGAGTACCCAGGCTAAAACTATCACCTTTACCCAAAACCTCAGTACAGAACAATTACCAAAAAAAGGTATCAGATACACCACATCATTTGGGCAGGCTTGTAGAGTGAATAGGAACTAGTTCCTTCAAAAACAGTTTGCCAAAATACTATTGATGGTGGCCTTTAGCTAATGAAAAGTTACTATGAATGCCTTTTCAGGGATAAAATCATACTTGTCTTTTCCACTTTCATTACTGATTTTTAAAAGTTGAAAGTGCAGCTACATCAGCTCCAGTGTTATTACGTGCAGGGACCAGCTATAAAAAGAGCCATATGCTTTATGTAACATGCAAGCTTCAGAAGCTGTTATGAAAAGGTCAGGATGACAGTAATGCAATCCACAGAGCATTACATCAGGTGTGCCCAATTTCACCATTAATCTCAGTGAGGCAACACCAGAGTTGTTTAAATGCTGACATGAAGCATTTCACTGGGGATCACATTTATTGCAGAGCTACTAATATTTTAGTTAAGTTAGCTCATAGTGGTGGATATGATATAGAGAAGCAGCAAAAGGAGGAAAAAAAAAAAAATCCCATTAATTCCAGACTATATTTCACCCTCATCTAAAAGAGGAGGTCAAAACAAAATATATCTCCTCTCCACAACAAAAAGTCTTCTTGGTGCCAACCACCAAAAGCTCAATATTTTCCCTCCAAATAAATCTCCATATTTCAGAATTAAATACATTTTCCGTCAGATTAGGTTATTACACTTGCTACCACGTTTGATCTCTCTGCAACTTTGTCGAGAAGCTTCTGGCACCAACTGCTACCAGAACTGAACTTCAGGAATACTGTCTTGATCTCAGATCAGGAGCATGCCATCCAAGCATTTCCAGCCTCTCCATTCTCCAGGGCAGTTACTTACTGTCAGTACAAACCTCTGCGGCATGTTGAAAGCCCAGAGGTTAGGGCAGCACAAAATAAACACTAAAAATAAATAGAACAAATAGGACCATACTAAGTTAGCAGGGCTGAGGCACAAAGAGGGGGAGAAAGCTTGCTTTAACTTCATTAACACAGAATTACAGGGTCTTCATCAAAAACTGTCTGCAGAGTCTGACCAGTAAAACAACTTTGTCAGAACACTCCTACTTCAACATGTGAAAAGTCCTCACAGATCTCTGGACAGCATACCCCAGAACAGTGCCTCATTACAGTTACGAGCTCTGTGAAGAGCAGGAAAACAGTACTTTATGTGCAATTAAATATTATGCTGTGTTATTGTTTGGTCCTCAATAGATGTTGTTTCACTGCAGAAATAGTGATTTTTGGGACTGGGATAAACAAGTGTAGATGTAGTGCTGCCTAGAAGATTAAAAAACTACCACAGAAAATACTTTTAATACTTTAGAGGAAAGCTGCTTTATAGCTGGTAGAAGTGAATGACAATACACACATTCATGTCATACAAATTTACGTAAAAAAAAAAAAAATTTAAAAGCCAGGAAGGTTTGTCCAGTCCTACATTTAGGTAGGCTCTAGGGATTTATTTCCTTTCCCAATACTTGTGCATTTCATCACATGCTCTCAAATCATTTTATAAACAAGAGGTTGGTGTTCTCATTTTGCAGATGGGAAAGACAGATTAAGAAACTGACCTTCGTGTCACAGCAAGTTATTGCAAAGAGGCGATTAGAGATGAGGATTACCTAAAACTTCTGTTCTGACAGTAAGAGATAGCTACCTGCTACAATCATTGTTCTTCATTTAGAAAAAAATTGTATTGCCCATCATTAATATTTACATTTCTGAATAAAAACACTTGTGCAAGCTAAAAATGCAGTTAATCTTAACACATATCTATGTTTTGGAATTCATATGGTACATTTAACAGTAAAATTCCAGTAAATAAAAAGGACATAAAGGACTTGTCTTACTCTCTTTTCCTACCCCATTTAGCCAAAGCCTAAATGTAGTTTCTCCAGAGGATTAAGCACGAATACTCCAGGAATTCTTATTTTTTCCCCTTCATGCTAGTGAATAATATATGAAGAAATAAGAATTGTAAGGGCAATATTGTCTTAATACATACGATTTTTGCTGCAGACATGCTGCATGGCCCACACTGCCCATAACTGGACACCAGGTGTCATGAAACAGCCAAGTAGAGGAAAAAACGGATTGAAAGACCTATAAAAAAAGAGGAAAAGCAATTTGCTTTACTACTAATACCTCAGAGGTCACATGTCCTCTACTCTTTCAGCTGCAGGTTTAACTAGGAGAGACACTTGATAAACTAGAGTTTTAGATGCAGCAGGCAAGCCTCTTAACATTTAAGACAACTACTAGCAAAAATCATATATAGTGGATACGCAGTATGGTTTACCATAGCATTTGGATGCCTCCTGCTCCTTAAGAACAGTGGAAATTATAAGGATTAGATGGACAGTAATTATCTAACTGTATTTTTTTGCTTCGAGCTTCTTTGTCTAGGACAGATAGTGCTAACCTAGAGATAGCCAATATAACCTGATAGATCTTTGTGTCTAAGTCTTTTTATACGTGCAGCTGAATACCTTTAATAGAAAAGCAGGCAGAATAGCTTTACATTTTTCTTTTACATGAGTCCCTAACCTTCTCTGGTCACAAAGGGAAAATTAACACACTTTATGTTTTAACATAGGTGTTTTTCCACTGGATAAAACCCTGTCTGGTTAGCAGCTCACTCTGCTTTGGAAACAAGTTTTAAATCTAGTTCAGTTTATTTTCCAAACTCTAATCAAGACAATAGTTACCTGTAAGCCACCATCTCACATTCTGGGGTTGGCCAATTCAAAATGGCAGAATGCTGCAAAATACAGAACCAAGAACACTCATTGTTAAATACACACACTGAAAAAATATTAAAGAGTATGATAAAATTCACCATCATTTCTGTACCAGCTGTTCAAGGAGAGATGTCCTCTGGCTGCGACTTAACGTCCAGGCCTGCTCTCCTCGAGATATTAAATGAGAAATAAGTCCTGCTGCAAAGTAGCTAACTTCCACCTCCACACTGTGCAATAATTTACTGATGTGGTCTATAAAGTCCTTCCACATTAACTCAGAATGAAGTTCTTTAACTTCAGCTATGTTATTCTGGAGAGGAGAGGGGAAAAGAAAAAGAAAAAGAAAATCATTACCAGAAAGAATGTGATAGGAAGGAGATAAACATATAAACTTAAAGTACATTGTATAAGTAAACACATATAAACACCAGGATGAGATTTCAGACATCCAGGTGGCCACCAGATACCAAAATACTACTTTTGCTTTTAAAAGTTTTTCCAGTCTAATGCAGGAATTTGCTTCAAAACAAAGGGATTTCCTCATAAGTAATTTCAGGCCATTATCATACAGATTACACTAAATTAAAGGATAGTTTTAACATTCTCAAATACACTCATTTTCAGTAAACTTCAGCAGTGCATAATTCTGACTTCCATTGATTTTCAATCTACTTTTTGCGTTTGAACTCATCTGAAGCCTTACTCACTGCCCTTTCTTAAAAGCTCTGTTTACTGTAACAATCAATATAATTAGTGCTTTTGGAGAACTGGTAAAACAGTCCAAAACAATGTCAGTTGTGAATAATGCACACTATAAAGATTAAAGAGGAACATAAACAATTTTTAAAGGTATATATTTCAGGTTTTTGTTGTTGTTCATCTCACCAAAAGTCCAAGAACCTTCTGTTGAATGGACGACTCAGATGGAAAAGACTGTGGAAAAAAGAAACAAACTATAGGTAACTGTCCTGGTTTTGGTCACGAAAGAGTTAACTTTCTTCATAGTAGCTAGTAAGAGGCTGTGTTTTGGATTTGTTTTGAGAAGGTAGCTGATAACATACTGATCAGCCTGACCTCTGTACTGGGTAAGATTATGGAATGGCTCAT